TGTCAATGGACCTTTATTTATTTACATGTGGTGCTTAGAATTGAACCCAGTGCTTTACACATGCTAGGGAAGCACTGTACCACTGAGCCACAACCCCAGCCCCCCAAATTRTTTTAAAAATGCATCTAAATCAAACATGCTGAGTTCTGTAATGTATTAGGAAGAGAACAGTGATCTTTTTTCCCCCTACTGTATGTGGCTCAAAGTGCCCACTAAGTCTGTTTTTAATAAAAAAAATATTTGAAATAGTCACACAAAAAACATTCTTAAAATGCATGCACACAATCCTATTCCTCCTTTTATCTTCCAATTTAAAAAATTTTTGTCTGGAAAAGATTTAAAGATGAATGCAGGTCTCATTAGGAGTATTTGTTGGTCAAAACTCACAATCCTAGTGTTGTTGTTTTAGCTGTTTTAAAGATGATACAACCCCCTGGTGGTCCCTAGAGCATACCCGGGAGCTGATGAGTTCTAGTTTGGCTCAACACAATTCAAAATATTGCCACAGCCTAATCAAGGACCCTAACTGGCAAAGCCAGATCTCATTTATGTATAAAAAAGGAATAAAAATAAACCATTTTATCACCGAAAAAATTTAAGTATTTCACTAAAATACCTTTATAAGAGGAGGAAAACACCTTTCTCAAATCCAAATATAGTACTTTAGAAATCAAATATGCTTAACAAAACCTCCACACATAACTATGATCCCTTACTTCCATAATGTGTTCTAAATCATCTGATTTCTGATAGTATGACCACAGCAAACTAAAAACATTCAATATACATTCCCTATCTTGAAAATACCAATCTAATATTATAATAGTATATTAGTTGATACAATTCACTGAATTTTAAACATATGTATTAGGAATACATTTGCCAGATATTCTAGCCTTAAGTCCAATTTTTACAATTACTGTTAAAAATATATCAATGTASTTAGTACAAAATTATGATGCATCTCAAGTGGTGTATGCAGTTTTTGATTGCTATAACTAAAGGAAAGTACAACAACACTAGAAAAGGTCCTGAGAAGAGAAATTGAAATCAGTTAAGAGAGTCTTATTGTCTTAACTGATTTCAATTACTTAACTGATTTCAATTAACATGRCTACATACCACCATAACAACAGCAGTCTAGTATTACTATGAAAGTAATACTAGACTTTCTTACAATAAAATACATTAATAGTACTCCATATATTTAAAGTTCTTTTAATAAAGTTTGGATCTGGAATGAACCCCAGTGTTTCTCTTCTTTGCTTCCTGGCTGCCATGAGCTGAGCAGCTTTCCTCTGCCACATCYTTTTGCCATGGTATTCTGCCTTTCCTCAGGTCGAGAGCAATGGAACCAGCCAACTATAAACTGAAACTTCTAAACCTGTAAAGCAAAATAAATCTTTCCTCCTTTAAATTGTTATTGTGTATTTCGCGGTCACAGCAATAAAAAGCTATCTAATACAGTCTTGAACCTACTGGATTTATCATTATCCTAACTTAACTCCTTAACTTCATTATGTTCAAAAAGAAATGAATTATTATTGGGCTATTAAAAATAGTAGAAGGACTTTGAGGATCTTTACTTTCCAAGAATATAGTCTTCCCCATAATAATCCTCGATGCCATGTCAAAGAACTATTAGGCTAGACAGATCATTATGTTCTTACCAGTTACTTCATGTTTAAGGTTTTGGAAACTATGGTCCAGGAAACTTTATTTTCACTAATTTATTACCTTGAGAATATTGTATCTGTTGAAGATGCCACCCGCATGACCACCATCTCTGTGTTCTCGAACTGTACTTTGCATCTGATGGAAAAATAAATGTGTTAGCCTTTTTTTTTTTTTTAAAGAGAGAGAGAGAGAGAGRGAGAGAGAGAGAGGGGGAGAGAGAGAGAGAGAGAGAGAGAGAGAGAGATTTTTTCGTTTTCGGCGGACACAACATCTTTGTTTGTATGTGGTGCTGAGGATCGAACCCAAGCCGTACGCATGCCAAGTGGGCGCGCTACTGCTTGAGCCACATCCCCAGCCCATRTGTTAGCCTTTATGTCTTTTTTGATTTGGGAAACATGCAACTTGATTCATCTGATTTTACTTTGAGAATACAAGATAGGAAGTAACTATTAACCAATCATCCTAAAAACCATATTTACAGGTGAAAATTATGTAAAATTAAAGAAAAAGAAAATGCAAGTTGAATTAAACATATAAAAGCATACAAAAAGCAAAATGTTTTGCTCTGATTTTATCCTAATAAAGCACAATATGTATTTCACTGACAGTTGAAGTTTCTTGAGTTTTAGAATTAAATATCTTTAAACTTTGTATCTTTGTGCTCAATTCATACACATACAGCATGTGTTACTCAAAGTGTAAGGAGGACAATGTTCAAAGAGTTCAGTAGATTCTAAAGATCTTTGGAAGGAACACTAGAATAAAATTTTCCTGGATAAACAGTATCTACATGTTCTGGGCTTTGTCTGAGTCTCTAGGCTTTGTAATTGTTCTAATTAAAGGACAGAATGTTAGCATTTTCTTTCAAATGAAAGCAAACTCTTCTCCAACAGAATTTTGTGTCAGTATCAACTGTAGTGCTGAATCAAGTAACTGGAATTGAACTTTATGGTGGGAATGTGCCTTAAATCTTAAATGCTTATTTTCAGTTTTTCAGGTGGCAAAAAGAGGAATGATTTTCAAACCCATACTGTATGTTCAAATAGGTCTGGAAACCTCCAGGCAATTTAGCAAACAGAACTAACAATATATGTGACTGAGCTACTTTTCCATTTATTTAAGGAATATGAACATACCTCTTCCTCCACAGAYTGAAACTCTTTATCATCAGGAGACAGATCTATGAGAATTGTTCCACTACCAGAGTTGTTCAAAGTTAAATATGGGTTAAGACCTATGAAATGAAATTTGAAAAAAAAAATGCCAGTAAAACAACACGAACCAAAAATAAGCATCTGAATAATTTGATGCTTACTATTGATTTAATTTTTTTTTTTTTTGTAGCTGTAGATGGACAGCATGCCTTTATTTGTGTATTTTTTTATGTGGTGCTGAGGATTGAACCCAGTGCCTCCCACATGGAAGGCAAGCGCTCTGCCACTGAGCTACAGCCCCAGCCTTTACTATTGATTTTTATAAAAATTTTTTAGACAAGGTCTGGAGCTAAGGTTGACCTCAAACTTGTGATCCCCGTTCCTTAGCCTCCTGAATAGCCAGGGTTACAGGCATATACTGCAGCACCCAGCTTAGCTTCCTACCATTTTTAACAACTTTCTAATTTTGGAATATATACTTGATAGGACGGCTGTATCCTTTACCCATCTTTCCTATTGGTTTTATACCACTTCATGTAATCATAGTACAAGTGTCAGACTGCACTTGGATTTCACTAGTTTTCCTACCAATGTCCTGTTTTTTTTCCAGGATACCACACTACCACACTGCATTCAGATTACTAATTTTTGATCAGATAAGTTGTTAAGAGTTTTGTGGGAATACTTTAGAAAATCCTTTTCTTCTTTGTCTGGAACACATTTTCCCCCCCATTACTTCCTTTACCAACASTGCAGCAGTTATATGGCCAGAACTTCAATTATAGGATGCTTCTGGCCTCAGCATAAACTCCCTCCAGTTTAACAATGAAACTAAAATGTGKTTTTTAACACCTAAAACAATACACCTTTTAATAACCAGATCTGGTACATAGGAAGTGTTAATACCTGTTGAGTGAGTGCAACTTGCCTTTTCCTTAATTACTAACATAAATGAGAAATAAAAATATCATCCAACTTTGTTTCATTTAATTTCCTTAGCTGTAACATTATTTTCCAGTATTTTTATTTCAAGCGCTTTGAATTTTAGTTGTGCGAGAGASTTACTATATTATTTCATGGGCTAGCTTACTATCTAGTCATTATCTGTTATATTGGCATTATATATAAGATACTTAAGTTTCAGGTTGTTTAGAGTCACAAAATTTAAGAGCTAGAGTAACTTCACAAATCATCTCATTTTAACTTCAATTTTCAGGAACTAAAATTTCCTCAAATTTCTGAATGGCCTTCTAATTAATTAGGCTCACAAAGTTTAGCAGCTGAGAAAGTTTAAACAGATTCTTACAAACTTTTAYATTATCACTTAGTATACCAAAGGCTGCCTTTATGTAAATAACCTGGTAACAACAATTATGAAAATGAAATACCTTGTTGCCCAGAGATAAGTCTTTCAACTCCTTTAATTAGTTTGTGTCTATGTCCATAAGCATTGATTCCAATCTCCTTTAGCTCCTTGTGTCCCATGTCAACCAATACATCCAAAGTGATCTTACAAAAAGAGAATGAAACTATTTATAGAGTGCTTATTCATTTGTTGGACATTCATCTTATATTGGTATTTTCATAATAAATTAGATTCATGCATTTGCTTCAAATTATTTTAGATAGCTCTGATACGAAAATAAATCCTTCACTAAGCTGAAATTAACTAAAAAGTTGGATCAAAAATGTTGAGTCATGAATGTACCTTCAAATTAACCACACTGAGGTATAYAATTTCTTCTCTATGATACTGTATCATGAATCGAGGATCCTGGGCATGCTAAGGAAATGCTCTACCACTGAGCTACAACTTGGGCCCCCATTTCATCTCTTCTACTATATTTTTCCATCACTCCTTAACATCCAACCTGTTTACAAAATGGCTTCAATGGTTTCCCCAGAGTTTGGACTATGTTAAAGCAGTACTTATGTATCATTGTTCAAACTAACCCTTTTACCTAAAATATATTATTCTCACTTGATGAAACTAAAGTCATTCAATCCTATTTTATCTGTATACCTTCTAAGAAACTATCCCTGAATAGTCCAAAGTTCATGGTAATTTTTTCCTTCTTTGAATTTCTTAAATCTAAGCCACAMCAAACCTTAAAGTTTTCATATGGTCTTCTAGTTCCAAAACTAGATTGAAAGCTTCTTTGGATACAAGCCTACAGTAACTATATTTTCTGAAAAACAACAACAAAAATCAGTCACTGTATCCTGGCAGAATACTTTAACTTCATTCGAGAACTGATTAAGATAAACCTGTCATTCAAGAAAGCTATTTTATTACTACATGAGAATCAGTTTTTATGGTCTGATACGAAAAATGGAAAATTAGAAGAGGAACTGATTTCCAGTCCTACAAAAAATATTCTTGGGGCCAGGAGTGTAGCTCAATAGTAGCATGTGCTTAGCCTGCACAAGGCCCTAGCTTCAATCCCTAGCAACAAATAAACAACAAAAACAAACTCCAAAACCAAAACCCAATGAAACCATTCTCTCCCCAATAGCTTACAAGGCTCAAGGGATTTCAAGTATATCCTAATTTTCCTTAAGTTTTCAAAAACACTAAACTAAGCAATACAATTCATCTACTTACYTGTTCTCTCTCAAATATATCCATTAGGTGCTCAAGTCCAAGATTCCTTACAAATTGAGTTATGCTAAAATCTACTCCTGGAACTGGGGAAGGRGGAAAGCAGAACAAAATTTCACATCACAATAATGTACAGCATTGTAACAATAAAGGTCTTTGATGTTCCTATTTACTTGAAGTAAGTATGAAGCAAAAAAATATAGTCCCTTAGGATAGAATACTGTATGTAACATTAAAAATTGCTAAGACAGACCTATAAAATTTCAACATCATAACAGTTAATCTATGAGGCCTTTTGTTGGGTAGAGGCTCAGATCCTGGCAGATGGAAGATTCAAGACATTTTTATCTGGAGGCAGCAACAGCCCCTAACCTCTAGTTCCAGCCCCATTTTGCTCCAGCCAGTTCCATTTAGCCCCCTGAGCCATTTCTATAGGCCTTTGTTATATGTAGGCCAGACAAAGGTGGCACACTGCCAACAGGTTGCATAAGTAGGCAAGTTTACAAGAAATGTTTATGACCTTGAGTACATACGCTGAATCAGCGTGTTCATGCCTTAACTATATACTTTAAACATAGCTGGCTGGAAGCCTCCATGTGAGTCTAACTCTAGCCATTTTGGGCCTGCCCAAAAACTTCTCAGATAGAAACAAAAAACAAAGCATAAAACAAAACAAAAGTCTCACTTTTTGTTTTACACTTTAATTTTATTTATTTATTTCTTTTTTTTTTTTTTTTTTTTTTTAGTACCAGGAATTGAACTCAGGGCGCTCAACCACTGAGCCATATGCCCAGCCCTATTTTGTATTTTATTTAGAGAGAGGATCTCACTGAGTTGCTTAGCACCTTGCTGTTGCTGAGGCTGGCTTTGAACTTGAGATCCTCCTACCTCAGCCTCCTGAGCCACTGAGATTACAGGCATGCACCATTAAACTTTATTTTTAATTGTATCTTTAAAATCAACAAAACTCTTACTTTCAGGCTGTAAGTTCCTTTACAAAAAGTTTATGAAAACGAGTTCAACATTCTTACACAGGACAAGCTGAATTTTGACATCTAAAAAATTTATACTTRAACAGTAGGTGGCAACAATAAGACTCATCAACTTTCAATGTGAAAGGCAAAACTTTCATTATGAATTCTATTAATAAYGTAAAGAAAACCACAAAGGGCAAAACTTATAGTCTGTGTTGATTTGATATTAATAATTGTATTTAAGGCTAAAAAGTACTTTCAAGCATTCCAAATGAGAAATATGGGGCTAATGATACCAGTTAAGTTATTTTTATACAATGTCTCACCTTCCTTTCTCTCCAAACTGGAAGCACCCTCTGTTCCACTTGAACTAACTACTGATGACAGTTCAGAAAAACTCCCAGATAAGTTGTCAAGACTGCTGGCTGCAGAAAGGCTMGATGGGCTGGATGGACCTGAAGATAGAGCATCTGCAGTGGCTCCTGGGTTTCTCATGCCATTGAGTACTTGAGGTTTATAACATGAAGGTAGAGCGGAAGGAGGCATGGCTGCTGTAAGGAGAGCACTGACATCATCTGCCTAGGGTACATTTAAAAGAGATAAAATCTGTCACAGGCAAGTTTTAAAATTCTATTATAGCTAACAGAATGCAGTTTAGATTAAAAGGCAATGATATTAATTACAAAAATATCTATTTTAAAAGGTCTTTACAACCTTATTACAATTACTCTGAAATAAGAAATTTACACTACATATGAAAYTTCAAAGAATTATGTTTGCTTTTCTTAGAAAACATTCAGTGATATCTCTGTTCCTCAAAATTAAAAGATGTTTTTGTTTTGATAACAAAGATAATCAATCTTAATCAAATCTGCCAGAATGGGGGGAAAAAAAGCCCTAAACTGACYAGTACATTAATTTGTTTCATTAGTGACATATAATCATTCTTTCACAGTGATCAATTCAGATACTAAGAAACAAACATTTAGCATGAAGTACTTTTTTTTTTAAAAAAAAACATTTATTTTTTAGTTGTAGGTGGACACAATACCTTTATTTTATTTTTCTTTTTATGTTGTGCTGAGGATCGAACCCAGTGCCTCACACATGCTAGGCAAGTGCTCTTCCTCTGAGCCACAATTCCAGCCCAAAAGTACTTGTTTTCACGGTCATTTTTACTGCCTATTCCAATCCTCATCATCTTCCTTTTCAATCTGTGCATTCTTGTGAAACTCACTGCTTGTATATAACATTTGTTTGTAATAGCAGTATCATTTATTGTATGCTTTTTCTGTACCAAATACTGTTCTAAGTACTTTAAATRTATTACCTTATGTAATTCTCATACTGACCAGATATACTCTCTTATAGTTGATGTATCTAAGGCCTAGAAGCTAGACAACTTGTATGACTGTACAACTCTTAAGTGATAAAGCTGGAATTCTAGTCCAGGTCTGTTTGACTCTAAAGACTGTGAATATTCTCTACAGCATTCTATTTCAGTCACTATCACTTAATACTATCTGGTAAATGAAGACATGGGTTTACTTCTAAAATAGCTTGGAACTGAAAAGATGATTTCCTAGAGAAACAATGCTGCAAATGCAGTTGGTTGTCAGCCTGCTGAGAAAAATCTACTTAAACCTCAAATGAAGCTGAACTAAATCATCTTCTCATTGTACTGAAACAACAAAATCTCTTTCAGTAGAAAACAGTTTTAAGAAAAGACTCTTCTTCCTTTCCATCTCAAAAGTATTTCTTCTTCCTTTTCCTTTACTGCTCTGGTTAATGTACTGAGTGGGAGAGACAAGAGACCCATGGTTTGTACTATCTTGCACTGTATGCACAGTAACCGCATTTATGGAGGGCCTGGGATTGTTTTTTTTTTTGGTACTGGGAATCGAACCCAGGGCACTCAACCACTGAGCCACATTCCTAGCCCTTTCTGTATTTTATTTAGAGATAGGTCTTGTTAAGTTGCTTGGAGCTTTGCTAAATTGCTCAGGTTGGCTTTGAACTCAAGATCCTCCTACCTCAGCCTCTCAAGTTGCTCAGAGTATAGGAGTGCGCCACAGTGCCCTGGCCTGGAATTGTTTTGTTTCTCCACTAATGTAAACAGTTTTAGTGCTCTTTTCTCCATCTCCAAAGTACATAATAGTACAGTACTATATAACTGATATCATACCAAAGAGATCCTGAAGAGTAGGCTAAAAACCATATTTTGCCACATTCACTATGAAGACTTTTTTTTTTTTTTTAAACATGTATCAAGTGAATTTTAAAAGGTCAGGCAAGCATTGAGATTTTTCCAAGAGCCCATCACTTACTGAAACTAAATCTAAAGGTGTTTGTCCTTCCTGATTTTTAAGAGTAGGATCAGCTCCGTGGGCCAACAACAAAGCACAAAGCTGTGTTCGTCCCTTTTGGGCTGCTTCATGCAAAGGTGTGAAAGCCCATTTGTCCGTGGCATTGACACATGCATTATACTTTATTAGTAAAGCTGCCACATCTACATGCTGTAAAAGAAAATACTTCTGTTACAGTCTGAAACATTATCACATTTTAGTCTTAAGAAGAAACTAGTTCTGTACCTACCCCCATATTTTCAAACTAACTTTGGAAATGAAAAGTAAAGCTGTTTCTCTCCAATATCATAACTTACGGGTAGTTGTTTAAAAATTATAGTAGGTATTTCAGTAATTTGAGAGACTAGAAAATAGTTAAGAATTCTACAGAGTTGGAAGCAACTTTAATGACTTTTGACTTAATCATGTGTTATAACTGCTGAATATCARTCTATAAACACATTCTTTAATTATTCAAACTTTATCACTGACATTGGTTAATAATGAAAACATCCTTGATGTTTTAAGATAGGAGCATACATCTCAATCTCTACAGATTCCTGTGAAACATTGTGAGTTTTCTGGGCACCAAAAAATAAATAAAACAAAACCACCATCTCACCGAAACTAAGAGAYGGGTGAAAAGGAAGGTAATAAAACAAGTGACAACAAATTGAAAACTAAAATTTGGAACTTATTTAACTTCATAGTTACTTCCTTGAAAATAAGAAATTCAAACAAAATTTCATATGAACTGCAATACTGACTTTCACATTGAAAATTCCATAGGATTTTTTTTTTTTTWAAAGACAACATAACTTACCCCATAAGATGCTGCATTATGTAAAGGAATAAGTCCTCCTTTGTCTTGAGCATTCACATCAGCTCCATGTTGTAACAAATACTCTGCAACTTCTAAATTATTATAACCAGCTAATTTAGAAAAGAAGTTACATTACTTTTACTTATAAATTAAAAAAAGTCCAACATAAACTCACACAGCTATAAATATTTATACAGCACAGACATCACTGGAAAAAAAGGAGATTTTTATATAAATCTGAAATTCTTGAGTCCACAAAAATTTATCTTTTTGAAAAAAATTTCCCACTGACCTCAAAAATTGGAAGCTTTTGGTGATAACATCCATTTGTTTTAGAGACTCTCAGAATTATATTGATTGATTTGCTTATATTTTTCCATTTAAAACCTGCCTTTCTGTTTACTACAACTTCCTAACCTCAGGTCCATGGTTTCAAAAGGCTGCAAGTCATAGACATCCAATCATAAATAGTCATGTTAGGAATACAAGTAGCTGTAAGGCAGGAGGAAGCACACTGGAGTGGGCCTCTGGGTAGTACTCTTCTTCCCTAGAGGGTTGTAAAGACATGTTTTTTTTTTTTTTTGGAGGGGGAGGGTTACCAGGGATTGAACTCAGGGGCACTCGACCACTGAACCACATCCCCAGCCCTATTTTGTATGTTATTTAAAAAAGACAGGGTCTCACTGAGTTGTTTAGCACCTCATTTTTTGCTGAGGCTGGCTTTGAACTCACTATTCTTCTGTCTCAGCCCTCCTAAGCCACTGGGATTACAGGTGTGTCCAACTGCGCCCAGCAAGACATGCTTTTTATTCAGGAAACTTAGGGGTACATATTTCCAAAAGACATGAAGTAAAGCTTAGTATTTTGGAAACGTGCTATAAACTCCTAGCTATTACTTGTGAGCTATCTCAGTAAATACTTTTATGGGAAAGCATATTTTATTTTGACACACAGAAAACAAATCTGGAATTTAACGTTGCCAATATAAAAACAGATAGCACTTGACTTGAAAATTGTTCAAAATGTTTTATTCATATTTTTATTGTAGTTTTTATCCTTTTGAAGGAGGACCTAAAGTGCAGAATTTAAAAAGATCAAGAAAAACAAAACCATAAAATTTCCTTAAATTTAGCATTACACTGATTAACAGTCCTTCTAGATTTCAATTTAATATTATACCTTCTAGGTATACTACTTAACACTGCATAAGTAGGCCAAAATATTTTGTGTACATAACCTGTTTGTGACTTACAAAGACAACATGGATTTTAACAGTAATGTTAAATGTTCTAGATAAACCACAAAAAAGATATAAAATCTCAAATAAATATAAACAGCAAAATTTCTAACCAGAGGTCAGGTCATAGCTTCTCTTGCAAACTTCTGATATTGGAAGTGGTAAGGCTTTCTTACCCTATTAGCATTTATGGCTTATAACTTCCAAAATGCACCAAAAGACACACGGATAAAGAAATTAATTTTCTTGGACACCATAGTCCAAATTTACATGAAGTTGATAATTTAAAGGTGGAAATAAGGGCTAAGAATATAGGTTAGTTGGTGGAGTGCTTGCCTTGAATGCACAAGACCCTGAATTCAATCCCCAGCACCACGAGAAAAAAAAAAAAAGGTAAAAATAAAACAAAACAAAAAATTATTATTTTAACTTTTTTCTCCAAAGTATTGGGGACTGAACCCAGGGTGCTTTACACTGAGCTATATCACCAAACCTTTTAATTTTTAATTCTGAGGCAGGGTCTCACTAAGCTGGCCTCAAACTTGTGATCTGCCTGCTTCAGTTTCCCAAGTAGTTGGGATTACAGGTATGCACCACTGTGGACAAAATTATGTTTGTTTTTTCTTTACAGTGCTAGCAACTGAATCCAGGGCCTTGTACATGCTAATCAAGTGCTCTAACACTGAACCCCTGGCTTCCTGAAWACTATCTTTGAAATGTTAGCAACACATTAAGTTATACTGTAAGACTGAAATAAACTACATATTTTTCTCTTATACCAAGCAGCAGTAATAAGTGCACTACTTAATTTTTTTCTTTTGTTTAAACCACGTTTAGACAACTGTGTGCATGATGAAACTTTACTGAGATATTAGCTGTAGCTAGCTCAGTGATTTTCAAGGTTTATTCTTTGTCATCTGCCATAAAGCTGAAAAAGCTGCCCTGATGCTACATCACTGTTCAACTGGACTAAAAAACAATGGTAGTCTGTGCCAATTTTATGAGTGAAAACTTAGAACAAATGTTATGGACTGAACTGTGTTCCCCCAAATTCTTTTGGGGTTATAGACCTAACCCCAGTAACTAGAATATGACTGTATTTGGAGACTGGGTTTTTAAAGAGGCAATTAAATTAAAATGAAGCTGTTAGGGTAAGCCCCAATCTGATCTGACTAATATTCTGAAAAGACCTGCTGACATCTAAATCTTGGACTTTAAGCTTCTATACCTGTGAGAAAACAAATTTCTGTTGTTTAAAGTCATCTAGTCTTTGGTATTTGGTTACGAAAGTTCTTTTTCTTGCATCTTCAGGGCTTTCTATTTTTTATTTTGAGATAGGGTTTTACTAAGTTGCTGGAGCTGGCCTTGAATTAGTGAGTTTCCTGCCCAAGCCTCCTGAATAACTGGGATTAGAGGTGTGTGCCACCATGGTTGGCTGGATTATGGCAGTTTCTTGCAAAGTAAAACAAGGAATAACTTTGGTAAGGTTTATATTACTTTTGAAACTTTTTAAAATTTTTTTTTCTTGTATCCGTTCTTAGCAGTTATCATCAGAATGAAAAGCTTTAGTATCCCATGAGGAAGGCTGACTCAAGCAGGCATATATTTCARAACTCACTCATCAAAATTGATTCAAACAATGTAGTGAACTAGAGTGAAAGATGCCAAAGTACATGGTGACTGGCATAGCCTRTTTGAATTGTTCTTATTGATGCAACATACTAGTACTGAAATGAACTGGAATTTAGCTAATAGCTTGAAGAATGGTTGCCCTGTATATGAAAGAGTATATAATGGTGGCATTAAAAGACATTTGATCTGAATCTTTCAAATTTAGTTACAGGAAATATTTACTCWGGTAAAACCAATCTCAAAATATATGAAATTTCTAGCCAAAATATATGAAATTTTATTCACTTACCTGCTAAATGTAAGGGTGTAGAATGTCGGCCTTGGGTATCACGRCAATTTACATTATCAGGAGAAGACAATTTCTTGACTCTGGCCAAACAACCTTTCTTGGCAGCATCAAGCAGAGCTGCATCTCCTCGAAGTAGATCTTGGATATCTGTATCTCCATCTTTAACAAGATCCAAAGGAGTATTCCCATCCCTGTTTTTCTTTGTAGGGTCTGCACCATGCTAGGCATGTGAAAAATAGGAAGGGAGGAGAAACTGGCTTAAGTGTGCCCTTTATCAACGAGAAAATAGTCAAATGTAACCATACCAAAGAACATCAATTTATACTAAGACTCTACCTTAAAGATTAAAACGACTATTAAAACTTAACCCAAGGAAAGATGGGGGAATGAGACAGACATCATTACCCTAGGTACATGGATGACTGMACAAAGGGTGTGACTCTATATCATGTATAACTAGAGAAACAAAAAGTTGTGATCCATTTGTGTACAATGAATTGAAATGCATTCTGCTCTCATGTATAACTAGAATAAAAAAAATTGACCTATACCAGAAAATTATAATAAGAACAAAGAGGCAGTTAAGTACTATTGGGTTTTTATAATGTTTAAAATTAGAGTTTTAAATCATGTTATTAAACATTACATTCTATAGTCATGCTTCATTTAATGATGGGGCATGTTCTGAAGAAAGCATCCTCAGGAGATGTTTTATTGTGCAAACATCAGAATGTATTTAACACAAACCTAGATGGTACTGGCTGCTACATACTTAGATTATATGGTATAGTTTATTGCTCCTAAACTATAAGTTATATATTACAGGCAAATGTAACACAGTGGTGAGTATCTGTGTATCTAAATACAGAAAATGCATGTTAACCTCCATTATATTGGCTTAGGAATGAACTTCCTCAATAAGACTCTTAAAGTGCAAGAAGTAAAACAAGAATCAACAAATGGGATGGTATCAAATTAAAAAGCTTCTTCACAACAAAGGAAACAATCAAGAACGGATAGAGAGAGCCTTTAGARTGGGAGAAAATCTTTGCCACCTGCATCTCAGAGCATTAATCTCTAGGATATATTAAAAAAACCAAACAACTCCATCAATAAATGGGCTAGGAGCTGAACAGGCACTTCACAGAAGAAATACAAATGGACAACAAATATATGAAAAAATGTTCAACATCTCTAGCAATTAGAGAAAAGCAAATTAAAACCACAACCAGTGTAATTCCATGTCATGTTCAACAATGTGAACGGGATCCTAATTAGAATAAATTATACTCCAAGTATGCATAATATACCAAAGGACACTCTACTGTAATGTGTATCTAAACAGAACAAATAAAAAATGTAAAAAATTTTCAGCTACATTATAATTGTATAGGCGCATGGTCATAAATGCAATCCATTGTGAAATGTCAATATGCAGCTCATAACTTTATTTTTACTTTACACAAACAATTAAATAAATCATGAATCTATTCTCTTGGCTTTTGCTGTAAAAGATCTATTGGTATCTGTATTAAACCAATGCCATCAATTTTATGCTAAATAAGCTAGGCTTATAAACCATTCAATTCATCAAGTATTTTGATTAAATTATTARGAAAAAAATAATAATCAGAGATCATGTCATAAACAAAAATTCATGTGTGGCAAATATACTTATAGAGTAAAATTTAAAATTGTTTCATAGTTTTTTTTTCCTTTCTGGAATCTAGTTACAGATAGATAATTTTGTTTTCTACTTTTACTATTTATACTGGAGTTATTTGGGGGGTGGGGGSAGGTCCAAAACTGTTAACATATTCTAGATAATTTACACTGTCCACAGTAAGTAGTTAAATATACCTGGAGCAGAAGTTTGCAAATTTCATATTTTCCTTTTGCTGCAGCTTCATGTAAAGGTGTGAATTTCCATAAATCAGCTACATTAACTACTGCTCCATGCTTAACAAGAAGTTCTGCAACTTCATAATGTCCATAAGAACATGCATTGTGCAAAGGTACAAGGCCCCTGAAATGAAAAGTTAAATGAGAATAATGCTAGAGAAGGATGATTTAATTTCAATAATTATATGTAAAAGATGAAAGAAATTTCTTGAACTAAGAGACTATACTGATTATATTTAGTAGAACATTAAGAACTGTATATTTTTAATGAATAATGATCTTAAGATAAACTGGAAAAATTCAAATATCCTCAACAAACACTGAAACACTACATTAAAAATCAATACTTTAGGGCTGGGATGATCGATTGCTCAGTGTTAGAGTGCTCCCCTAGCACAGGTGAGGCACTGGGTTCGATCCTTAGCACCTCATAAATAAATAAAAATAAAGGCATTGGTCCACCTACAACAACAAGAACAACAACAACAACAACAACAAATCAGTACTAGAGGGCTAGGATTATGGCTCAATGGTCAAGCACTTGCTTACCATGTACAAAGCCCTGAGTTCAATCAAAACCAAAACCAAAACCAGACAAAAATGAGTCTTACAATAATAAAGATTTAAAAAAATGTTAACTGAAATTAAAAGCTATATTTAAATCAATGTAAGGAAAACAGACTACCTCCTAGGAAAAAAAAAAAAGCTACCAACCATTAAAAAATATTTTCACTAAGCAACTCAGGAGGCTGATGCAGTTCAAAGCCAGTCTCCACAATTTAGCAAGACCCTGTCTCAAACTAAAAAAAAAAGAGCTGGGGATGTGGTCAGTGGTTAAGCGCCCCAAGGTTCAATTGCAGGTACCAAAAAAGGGTCATATTTTCCTAAAAGGGCAGATAAAGGTAAGGAAAAGAGAGACCTTAGTAACTGTTGGTACTCACCCTTTATCTTTAGCATGCACATCAGCTCCATGCTGTAGAAGATATTCCACCACAGACACCCTGTTATACCCTGCTGCAAAATGGAGTGGTGTAGACTGACGTCCTTCAATATCTCTGCAGTTGACACTCTGAACAGTACACAGTTTCTGTAGGATTGAACACAGCATACATACACGTTGTCATTTCTTGTTTCAATCCRTGTTGTAGGAAATTTCATGTTTGGCTTATTTTCTTTTTTTTTAAATATTTTTTTTAGATGTTGATGGATCTTTATTTTATTCATTTATTTATATATGGTGCTGAGAATCRAACCCAGGGCCTCACATATGCTAGGCAAGTGCTCTACCACCGAGCCACAACTCCAGCCCTCATTTTCTTATCTAAGAAGTATTCTCAGGAATCAATTCTTTTTTTTTTCCCCCCAGGGCTGAGGACCGAACCCAGGGCCTTGCGCATGCTAGGCAAGTGCTCTGCCACTGAGCTAAATCCCCAACCCCAGGAAATCTATTCTTATTTCATCTTGTTGTTTACTGAGAATATCCCTTTGGTCCTCTCATTATTGCCTGTATCTCCTATTTTTTCTACAGTAAGTAGGTCAATTTTACCTTTACTACTACTCCTTACATAAAGATAACCTAAGTATAACTTCCATTTTGTGGCAATTACACGTACAGGTACACTGGATCACAGGAGCACCAGCATTGTCAAGGTTCTTATTAAAAATTCAGCATCTCAGACTCCTAYGTACCGAGTTAGAATTGATATGTACACACATTAAAGTTTGGAAAGTAATGTTCTAGACCAGTGGACCTCAAATTTCCATGTGYATTGGGTCCCACCTTTAGATTTTCTGATTCAGTGTGTCTCTGGCAGGACTTGAAAATTTGCATTTTTAACAAGTTTTTAAGTGACACTGGTGGTCAAGGAACTATTCTTACAGAATAAATTAATAAARTGCTACTGGTTAATCTTGAGAAAATTATAGTTACTCAAATAATTTTCTGTTTTTCGGTTCAAATGAGGAGGCAGAATGGAGAAATCCTCACTTAAATTTTTTTTTTTTGAAATTTTTTTAGTTGTAGATGGACATAACACCTTTATTTTGTTTATTTTTATGTGGGGCTGAAGACTGAACCCTGTACTTCACACATGCTAGGCAAGCGTTCTACCACTGAGACATAACCCCAGTCCTCATTTAATATTTTGCATGAAGAACATGGAAGTAGGGCTGGGGATGTGGCTCAAGYGGTAGCGTGCTCGCCTGGCATGCGTGCGGCCCAGGTTCAATCCTCAGCACCACATACAAACAAAGATGTTGTGTCTGCCAATAACTAAAAAATAAATATTAAAATTCTCAAAATAAATAAATAAAWAAAAAGAACATGGAAGTTTAAGGAAGGAAAGCAACATAGATAATAAATCACAGTGCTCAAAGAGTAAAACAAAAAAGAACAAAACAAAATCCAAAAAAGTCACTATTAGTAAAAACTCTTTCCTCCTTTAACTATCCTACCTTGAAAAGCAGGAATATATAAGCTCAATAAACCAAGGAGTCAGTCAGTGGGTTTACCTCAAGGGGCTTTATCATTGGACTAGCAAAGCTCATTATGTTTACTGAACAAGAACTTCATAGATATATAAATTCAGGGGTCTATTCAAAAAACGGTGTTTCAAAGGTTATGAAGTTGGGCATCAGGAACAAATATTTTTAATGCATATCAGGTGTTAGGTGTGGTATTATCACAGGCCTCTCTACTTCTCAGTTTAACTATGTCCATTCTGGGGACAGGCTTTTTTTTTGTGTGTGTGGTGCTAGGGATTGAACCCAGGGCCTTGTGCATGTAAGGCATGCACTCTAACAACTGTGCTATTTCTCCAGCCCCTGAGACAGGCTTTCTAATAGTAGTCCAATTAAATATATAGTCTGATGGATCAGCACTAAACAACTGAGGACACAATAAAGTGTTCATTGGATAATACATACATGTTCTTGTTTCAGAGATTCATACASAGCCACCTTAGAAAAAAGAAAGGCTGGTGGAGATAAATGTCTATCAAGTGATTTTAGAAGGAGAGGGGAGGGAAGACAGCCTAATACCTATCACTAGGAGAGCTGGTCTTCCTTAATCCAGTGGTGTTATTTTATTCTCTAAGTTAAATTCCTGCCTCTACCTTATGTCTTCTTCATTTCTCTATTCCTTTAGACCCTTTCCGTCTTTAAAATGCTTCATATTGTGCTTACTGAAGAGTTTTATGTTTTTTAGTATGTATAGAGAAAAGTCATTTAAAATTTATCAGTCTCCCTTCCCTCACATGGGAGGGGGGGGAATCAGCTAGTTGTCCTTTATTACRTATAAAGATAAATCCAAAAGAAAGGATCAATTTACAGAAAGCTCTTCATTTATAAAACCAGTGGAGGGGCTGGGGTGGTGGCTTAGTGGTAGAATGCTTACCTAGCAGGCATGAGGCACTGGGTTCTATCCTCAGCACCACATAAAAACAAACTAATATATCTATCTAAAACTAAAAATACATAAATATTTTTTTTAAAAAGACCAGTTAAGTTCTAGAAAGAGATCAATATTCATATGTATTAGAAAATCTAAAATTGATTTTGTCTAGTGGGTCTGTTTAGTACTRGAATTACCCCTACAGAAATAGTAAAATTATTCCAAATAGCTAAATTTGCCATGAATTAAGTCAACAAATACAGCTTTTTATAAAACTTATTACCCACTAGTGCCCCTTTAATTTGGATCAGTAGTTTTGGAAAAGTATCTAAAAGGGAAAATACAAGGTTTTTTCTCTCCCTTACTAGCTTAGAAAATAAAAATAACATATTTACATTTACTGAAGAATTATTTAATTCATGAAAAAATGTTGAATTAAATTCTTATATTAGTTGAATTGTGATCTATCAATATATTAGGCTTTTGAGTTATTTACCTGGATGTACAATTTCTGTAGGCAGGGAAATATCTGGTATATTTACCATATATATGTATATATACATACATATATTTTTATGTACATATATATACACACACATGTATTTGTATGTGTGTATATATATATGTATTTACATACAAATATATGTAGACATGGTAAAAMTCAAAACAGAATCTGAGGAAAGGTTATTTGGGAAGATTTGTATTACAYGAAACATATTAAATATGTTAAACATATTAAATATATCTAACATAAGGTGTTCTTATGAGCATACTAGAAGGCTTAAACAGACAACAAGTAATTTAAAATCTGTAAACTCTAAGACATGTATATGAAACTAAAAAGTCCTTTTCTTTCATCACTAAGTGTTTTTTATCTGTAGAGAACTAGATATTTTTGTCCTTTAAAAGCAAGGTACATATAAATAAACCAAGCTCTTCATTATAATAGTACAGACTTCATTAAATGTCAAAATAAAAACGCATGGTTAACAAATACATAAAGATTATATCTYACTTTTACAGTTTCCACATCTCCAGCCTTTGCAGCTTCCAGCAACTGTCTGTCTGCCTCTGAATTCCCTAATGGGATACCCTCTAAAAAGAGAGAGGGAAAGAGTGATTAATTTCTGTTTAGAAGTGTAACTGATGTGATTCTGCAATCTGTATACAGGGTAAAAATGGGAGTTCATAACCCACTTSAATCAAAGTGTGAAATATGATATATCAAGAACTATGTAATGTTTTGAACAACCAACAATAAAAAAAAAAAAAAAAGAAAATAGGACCAAGCTTCAAGTGAGGCATCTTATCAAAAGGTAAAGTCCTTTTACARTCTGCTAGACTAGGTAGGAAATCTCCATCGCAGTGGGGGAAAAATATTAAAACTGTGYATAATTACAAAATATGATTTAAGCAACAAAAAGGAACATAAAATAAATGATAAGCTAGCGTGCTCYATAATCAAGCCATATGGAATGTTACAAAAGTATTACATCAGGAGAACAAAAGCCAGAAATCTAATAGTGGTTCTTCCATTTACTAGTTATCTGAACTGGGGCAAATCAGTGTTCTGAGGCTCACATATTTTTAATTCTAAAGAAGAAAGCTGAACTAAAAAACAGATAAAGTTATTTCCAGGTCTGAAATTCTGTTCTACAGCTCATTTAACATTTCAGAAAAAAGAACATCTACTGTTACCTTAGCACAAAATAAACTGAACACAGACTCAAGATTTATGTATAAAAAATTAAACCTTAAAAGAACTARAATAAAACATAGATAAGTATATTCATATCTTGAACTAAAAAAGCTTCTTAGAGCAAAACTGATTTGGAAAAATAACTGGCAGGCAACAGAGCATTAACCAAATTACAGAACAAAATGGCAAAAAAAAAATCACATTTCAACATACAGTTTAAGAAATACTATATCTAACATAAGGTGTTCTTATGAGCATACTAGAAGGCTTAAATAGACAACAAGTAATTCACATATAAAAAATAGAGAAATGATCAATAAAGATAAAATTATGTTCAAACTTGGTCATTATCAAATACAAATTTAAAAAGATCCTATTGTTTTCTTACCCACTTAGTATACAAAGTGGAAATGTGGAGCTACACTAACAGTATTTCTTTAGTTTGCACTAAAAAAAAGCATCCTTTTCTATTAATTCATAGAGGCATGTTTACCTAAGAAAAATATTAATATTTACAGTATCTAGTATAACAACAAAAACAGATCTTAATACTTTTTGTGGGTTTGTGAAATAGTACATATAATTTTCTTAGAAGGCAATTTGAAAATTATATACCATTCTTTGATTGAAAAATTTCCCTTTAATAATTTATTTTCAGAAGCTAGTTTGAAAATTAAGAGAAGCTATAAATAACAACAGAACTTAGCATAAAATTGGTAAGACTAAATTTTATCATTAGGCAACTGAATAGGGCTAGTGTTATTATCCTTAAACAGATGTGTAAAACATAGAAAAAAGGTAATCCAGAGAGCCACTGTAGTCAGTTTAGTTTTGGCAGATTCTATGAGGCTACATCAATCTGCCTTCACTTTTTCAAGCAGTGTTTCTCAAAATGTGATTCCCTGACAACAGGCATAAAGATCATCAAAATGACTGTTAAGAATGCTTGCTTCATTATCTGAGCTTTGAGAYTTCAAAGCCACTCTATTAGATTCTAAGAGAAAGTAGAGATGTAAGTAAGGATACTTTTTTTGTACTGGGGATAGAACCCAGGGGTGCTTTACCTCCAAGCTACACTCCTAGCCCTTTTTATTTCTGAGATAAGACCTAAGTTGCTAATGCTAACCTTGAACTTGGAATCCTCCCACCTTATCTCTAGAGTCACTAGGATTAGAGGCGGGCAAGTGCTACCTTGCCTGAAGCAAAGATACTTCAAATATTATGTGACTGGATTTCTACACTGAAATATTTAACCTGTAATGTGTTCAGACAGCTGCTCTAAATGTTAAGTTTTAAGAATATGAGTACCTTTAATAGTTAAATAATACTTTTTTTGTGTGTGTGTGTGGTACTGGGGATTGAAGCCAGGGCTGCTCTACTACTAAGCTATATATCCCTAGTCTTTCTTGAGACAGGGACTAAATTGACCAAGCTGGCCTTGAACATGTGACACTCCTGACCCATTTTCCCAAACTGCTGGAATTATAGGTATGTTCCATGCACCTAGCTAAATAAGTTTTTGTACCTTGTACAAAGAAATATGCTGGATCTAAAAAGGACCCTAAAAAGGAATGAAGAATAAATGTCAGTACTTAGGGTATTATGCATTACCAGCTTGTGGTCCTATTAGATCCATCTTTTCAGATTTTCCTTTCTCTAAAAAGAAATAGCAACTATTATATCTTATTCTTAAAAWTTTTCTTGATAAAAACTTGAGAGCCATCTATTTTCGCAGAATAAACGTTGTAAAGAAATCATAATTGTGACTTCATGACATTTRGGTAGTTGAGTACTTGTAAAGAGTACTATTATGAAGAAATAGCCAAAAATTCTCAAAAATTTTATTTTCATTACCAGCTCCTACGTTAAACACCATAATGTTAAACACATAAAGGTTAATTAAAAAAATTAATGTCACAGAAGCATTTAATACCTTGAAGCAGCTGCTGCACATTTTCATTTCCCATCTGCAAGGCAGTAAATCCCTGAAGGGATATGATGTTAGGATCACACCCATAGCTCAGGAGTAGGCGGCAAGTTTGCAGATGGCCACAATGTGCAGCTCTGTGCAGAGATGTCTGACCAAGATTATCGAGAGCATTAACCTTAATAATGCAGAAAAAGTTGAAATTAGCCTGCAGTGCATAATTTAAAACCACTCAACCATGYATTTAACACTTGCTACCTATTTAAAAGTTTTGAATGTTTCTTTTTGACACTGGGACTGAGCCACATCTCCAACCCTTTTTATTTTGAGACAGGGTCTCATTAAATTACTTAGGGCCTTGATAAACTGCTGAGGCTGATTTTGAACTTGTGATCCTCTTGCCTCGGCCTCCCGAGTCACTGGGATTACAGGTGTGTGCCACTGCACTTAGCTCAGTTCTTCTTTTATGAAATCAAAGCAAGTATTTTTTGCTTAAATCTAGAACACAAATATACACCAACTTATAAAGGCTGGCTGACATCAGAAGAAAAACCCAATTTTAGGCTAAAATGTCGAGTGACAGTTGAATTTATTAACAAATTATTTATAGGTGCACTGTATTTAAAGTTAGATATTGCTTAAAAAAGCTGAATCTCTATTTATGGATCTTGGAGTTCTAGAAATTAACCCCAAGATGGACAACAGTCGGCAGCAAAGCTAGAGTTAAATTAGTATTAAAAATATTTACTGCTATTGGCTTAATCCTCTATCCAATTTATCATGTAAAATATAATCTGTATAGATAAACACATGGTATATCCACACAATGTATTATTTCTTAGCAATACAATGGAACAACTATTGATAGGTAGATGAAATCTCTAAAACATTACACYGGGTGGAAAAAGCCTTACACAAAAAAACACATATTGTATGATTCCATGTATATGAAGGCCTAGAGCAGCCAAATCTAATCTGTCAGAAAAAGTAAAAATGGCTGATACTGTTAGAGGTGGAGATGGCCTAGGTTGGAGCATTACCTTTGGCAGAGGATGTTTATTATCTTGACAAGAGTTTTGGTTACACAGATGTATGCATTAATCAAAATTCAGCAAATGCACATTTAAAATTTATAAGTTTTTGCTGAATGTAAATTTTGTATCTTAAGAAAAATTATAAACAAATGCTGAACTCTAGTTGATGAACTTTTGGATTTAGAGACGTGTATACTAATATGCAAATTACTTTGACAYGTATTCAAAATAAGATATATTAAAGGATGTATAATAAAACAATATAGTAAAACATTAGTGACAGACACTAGATGATGGATATACAATTACTTATAATTACTTATATATATCTTTGAAATTTTTCACAAGAAAAAAATAAGACTATAAGACTCCCCCTATCTCATTTCTACCTCCATATTCCCACCATGCAAACAATTCTTTGAAATATAACTGAGAAATTAAGTTACTTAGTAACCAATTCTGTGTCCATCGGTGTTTTGAGACACTGGCCAATTCATATTCATGGAATCAGAATATTTTAAGAAGAATATAACACCAACTTCTCAATGAACATGAAACTATAAATAACTAGTTTTAAWGTTTATAGAACCTGAAAAATCTATTTAAAATGCTCAGGGCAATTATTTATTAACATTTCCAAACTCAATGAAAAGTGAAAAACATCCACTAGCTAAAATTTTATTTGAGTACTACTTTGTATTAGGATTAGGATGACCAACTTGTCCTGATTTGCCTGGGATTTTCTCACTTTTAGTACTGAAAGTTTTGTTTCTGGAAATCCCTACGTCCTGGATAAAACTGGGTGGTTGGTCACCCTAGTCAAGATTGTTTCACTGAGTTTCAGAACTTAAAAAGAAATATACCACATATATGAAAAACAGCAATCAAAGAAAAATTACAGAACAGAGACAAATGAGGTATGCCAAGCAGTCAAGCGGAAATAAATTTTTATTCAATAATTTACAATAGAAAAGATCAAGATTATACATTATCGAGAATTCCCCCAAATCAAAGAGATTAGGACACTGAGAGGCAACATGAAAAGAAAGTGGGAAATTCTAAGTTGTTCCTTGAGTGAAGGAAGGACAGATAAGAAGACTAGTCTGTAAAACACATTAGGGAAGGGCTACAGGGCCACCCAAGCAAAAAGGGGTATGTTTCTTTCTTCTCTTTTCATTCAAAGCAGCTCCATCCTTTCTGTTAGACAGTAAATATCTATTAAAGATTTTGTTTGAAGAAGGAAAGCATCTATGGCTAAAAGTTGAAAAATTGCTGAATTAGGTGACCATCTCTGTCATCTCTTCCAATATGAGATGTGTATCTTTTACGAAGTAGTATTTTTTGAATTTTCTAGATAAGAAATAATGATTTCTAGCCTTGATAGAAGAACAAATATTCAATGTATAAAATGATTTGTGTACAAGTGCTAACTAAAGAATAGTAATTTATCACCATGGAATGCTTTTATCCAAATTACTTAGTTTCCTCCTATAAAAAGTCTTTGACTTAGTTACATAAATAAAAGAAGGTGGAAAGACCATCACTGGGGTAAAGAGCAGGAGTTAGCTTTGTGACCAAGGAACAAAAGATTCGGTAAGAAAAGACGACTGTTCAGAATCAGTATTACTTTAGCTGGGGATATTCTGGAGAGTGTACTGTTAGATACAGACCTTAAAGATAACTGTGATAAAACTGTAATAATGGGGTGTGGACAAAAGGAATGGAGAAAGAAGGTCATAAATAAATAATATATATGTGAATAAATACATAAACTTTCTGTCAAAAAAACTGGATACAGAAAAAATTACCTGAGGGACTTTATTATTATTATTATTTTAGGGTGGCATTGGGGATTGAACCCAGRACCTTGCCCATGCTAGGCAAGTACTCTACTATGGAACTATATTCCCAGCCCTTTTAAAAATTTTATTTTGAGAGAGGATCTCGTTAAGTTTCTCAGGCTGGTCTCAAACTTGMAATCCTACCTCAGCCTACCAAATAGGTGGGATTACAGGCATGTGCCACTGCGCCCAGCTGCAGGACTATTTAGGTGTAGATTAAAAAACAAAACAGTTAATTTGTAAATAGGGAGTAGGCATTTCATCTGTTGAACAGAATATAAACTGTTGGGTGACCAAGATTACCAAAAAGGAAGTATACCTTTGCTTCATGTTTCACCACTACTTCGACAACATCATTATGAGCTTTTTCAGATGCCACGTGCAGAGGAGTCAAGAATCTTAAAAGACAAAAAGTCAGCCAAACAATGAGTATATCTTCCAAAGAGTAAAATGTCAATAATATTTAATTATTTAAAGTATACTTACTCTTTAGTYTTTTCATTGATGTTTGCTCCTTTTCTTAGCAACAGTTCACATATTTGCTTTCTTTTGGGATATGGAGATGCAGCAGCACAATGCTAAATAATTCAAATTGCAGCATTAATCAAGGACTATATATAACTGATTTTTATTTAAGAACACTTGTGTTTCCAATCAAGAATAATCAAATTATTTAACATGTTTTACTTCTGACCTAACTTTATTTTCCAAAGACTTTGTMGTGGATAGTAACAACAATTACCAAATTATGACAATGTCTGAAACCCTATGTACTAAATGATACCTGTTATTAAATATTCTGTTCAAAATTTTTCATCTCTTTGAAAAAGCCACTGTGGATGTGAAGAAACACAATGTGACTGATACCTATTCTGAAGGTATTACGTTATTGTTTAAAAGGTTAAGAAAATACCCCAAAGGTCGGGGCTTCTTTACAATGAAGAAAGAATACTCTTCCACTTTGAATTCTGCTTGGTTAATAGCTAATAAGGTGCTTCTCTCAACTAGCTGCTGTAGCAGAACAAGAAGCTTGGATTACCTGTTTGACACAATCAGTTTTAGAACTCCATTTGGAGTTCGAAGGTGCAGCATCTGTATCTATGATATATTAAGGAAGAAAGGAGGCAGAAGGTAGGGATTTCCAGTCAGAAACCTAGTAAGTATCTTACGGTCATGGCCTATATGTTTGCAACCTCAACCTATAGGATAATATTCATGGACAACAAGTATTCAATAATGTCTGAATGATGAATGATTAAATAAATGCATATAATATTAAAACTGAAATCTGAAACTCCCTAGAATRAAAGTTCTGGTTAATTTATAAGCAAAGCTGCTCTACACAACTGAACACACAGTACACATGAAATTTGTTCTCTGATTGTAATCTGTTAATCATAAGTCAGATCTTCATGATGGCTAAAGACTCATTCTTTGATACTGTTGTGTTCACTAAAATCACTCCTTTGCCCTTAAGAAAATAAAACCCAACTTGTGAACATAGCTCTTTTGGCACCTTAAGGATAATAACTCCCAGAAGATCTTTCAGAAGAGCACAAAAAATGGAAATAGTTTATTTCCAAGAATACTTTATCACATCCACCTCAAAATACACCTCTACTCCTCTGCACCATCCTGGTGCAKGGCCTGCAATCTCTGGAAAGGAAGAAGGAACTGCTCCTGTACCTCAACTACCCATTGACCCTTAACTTCTAGTTGTTTGAAGGTTAACAACAAGTTGTTTAATAGCATGGTATCTGGGGGGAAACAATGTTTAGTACAATGGCTCCTCCTTATTCATGTTTTTGCTTTCCATTGTTTCAGGTCAGCCTCAGTCTGAAAATATTACATGGAAAATTACATAAACCATTTGTTTTTTTTTTTTTTTGAGACAGGGTTTTACTAAATTGTTTAGGGCCTTGTTAACTTGCTGAGGCTGGCCTTGAACTTGTGATCCTCCTGTCACAGCTCTTCCAAGTTGTTGGGATTACAAGTATGTGCCACTGTACTCATTTTCATTAGTTTTAGAAGCAGTTTTCAGAAGTGTGATGACRTTTTGCATCATTATGCTCAAGATGAGAGCCATTTCTTTTTCTAGTGAACGTACACAACTGCCTATGTCACTTGTTCATTATCACTTAGGAGCCATTTTGGTTATCATCAGATCAAGTGTTGAGGTATCACAGTGTTTGTGTTCAAATAACCCTTAATTTACTTAATAATGGCTTCCAGTGCAAGAATAATGATACCAGTAATTTTGATATGTTCAAGAGAAGCTGTTTAAGTGCTTCTTTTTTTGAAACATCTTAATATAAAGGAAAGAAAAATAATTGCATTCTGAGGTTTCTAATGGCTACAGTGAAGTTATTGATGTTAATCTCTTTCTCTGCCTAAATTATAAATTAAACTGTACCATAGGTATAGAGGAATAAAAAACAAAAACAAAAAAAGAAAAAAACAGCACACACAGGGCTCACTATTGTCCGTGGTTTCTTTTTTCCATGAGAGTCTTAGAAGATATTCCTCTCAGATAAAGGGGTATAACTGTATTAGCTTTTCATACTAGACATTTTCCCATGATGTTAGTCTTTCGAAGTTTCTCTGTACCATTTTAATGCTGCTGTGGCTTTAATTTTTATTAGCATTTCTTACAATCTGCAGCTTTTTTTTTTTTTTTTACTTGGATGATTTAAAAGAAGTAACAAAAAGATACAAAATATTTATAAATAGGTTTTTAAATAAATTTCACATAGCTTACATTAAGGCAAAAGGAAAAGAAATTTATCATAAAAGATTATTAAGTACAGCTATTGTTAAGTTAAATCTATTAAACACATTAAGTTATCTTCTCTCACCTAAACATATTATGTAATTCATATAAGAACTTTTTCCTTTTATTTTTGGTGCTAGGGATTGAACTCAGGGGTGCTTAACCACTAAGCCACATCCCCAGTCCTTTATCATATTTTTTTAGGGACAGGGTCTTGCTGAGTTGCTTAGGGCCTCACTAAGTTGCTGAGGCTGGGTCTGAATTCACAATCTCCTGCTCAGCATCTGGAGTTGCTGGYTGTGCCACCACACCTGGCTCACAATTTTTCCTTTTTAAGGTCGCCACTGATTATACTATACTTCTATCTTTCATCACTTACCCATACTTTTCTGATTGCCTTTCCTCATATTTCCCTACTCACATCTACTCTGTTATGAGTTCAGAGTTACTCTTAGTTCTATCAGGGAAGTAGCCTCTAAGATACTTTACTCACACTTTAGAACTAATTTTGAGAAAATAATCCAATATTGAAGGAAATATACCAAATGGTTTTTATTTGACTGGTGGTGTAATTTTTTTTCATTATTTTCAGTGAAAATTTTCTATTAGAATAAGCCTTTATAATTTTTATAACTTCTCCAAATGGCAAATGGGATGTAACACATACCAATATATGAATAAAWTTTTTTTCTGGATAGATTCTCAAACTTATAATAATATTGCCTTTTAGAGGGTGTGTGTTGAGGGTATTTATACTGTTTGACTCTTTTCTCTATATATGTGTGGGCATTAATTTAATTTTTTTTAATTACAGATTTAAAAAATAATGTCATTGCTAAAACAGAACATTATGAGTTTGGCATGTTTTTAGTTACTGTCTTTTAAAAACTTAAGTCTGAAAAATTACCAATGCTGTTTCATGTGTCTGAGGATGCTTGAAATTCACCATTTCCAGAGAGAGATGTTTTTTGATTCGTGTAACATCAGCTTCACGTGCAGCTTGCAGCAATGAGTGGCCTTTAAATTCATCTAGATGAAGAAGCATTCAGATCTTCATGAGCATCATCAAATTAATAGAACTTACTCAGTAAAAGACATTTAGTATGATTCTTCTTTCTTTTTTTTTTTTTTTTTTTTTTTAAGAGTGCGAGAGGGAGAGAGAGAATTTTAATATTTATTTTTTAGTATTTGGCGGACACAACATATTCGTTTGTATGTGGTGCTGAGGATCGAACCCGGGCCGCACGCATGACAGGCGAGCGCGCTACCGCTTGAGCCACATCCCCAGCCCTTAGTATGATTCTTGATGTTATTTTGAAAATAATCTTCCCAAATAGCCTATAGTGGTATTCCAGTTCTTCTCTGTTATGGCTCAATTCATCCTCAAGTGTACACACATATTTAGGTTATGGCAGATTGAGGATCTGCTCAAATACATAATTGCTCTAGAGCTATCTAGAGTACTATAATATATTCCCAGACCATAGTGTTGTGAGAATTTTTCAAAAAATTTTCAAAACTTTCCTCAATAAATAACCCCTAAACTAACATAAAGATAGTTTTGTTTAGATCTATTAGATAATTGGGTGCTAGACAAATTGTCTATTACTAAGTGCCACCTATGATGATCAAACAAAAGAGGGTATTTTTCTTTTACTCATYAGACTTGTGAAATCACCCTTATCCTTTATTATTCCAGAAAAATATAACTAATTCAAGTTGCCTATTTATATGTAGTAATACTGTARAAGTACTACATAATATATGTAGTAATACTGAATATAGTGGTTATTTCTTTCTGCATCTATTTCAGCTAAAAACAGAAAACCACAGAACTCAGCCCAGGTATTAAACATTATTAAATGTTAAGACCTGGGAACTGTGTTTAYAAGATGGCAATCTGATAAATAATACTAACTTCATTAACAGGTTAACTAGAAAGTCATATCAAAGATGTGACTGAAATTCATGCTTTCATTTCAAAAAAATATCATAAGACTAAAACATATAAAAAGTATAACTTGACTTCAAAAACCCTATACAAATATATTTTCTTTTCATAGCACCTAGAATATGCTGAAGCTCCCTAAACAACTGTACTTATATTTAAGGATAATATTTCATTCTGAAAATTTTATAGGAAAGAAAAGTATTCAGGTCAATGATACCATAATATCCTAGCTGGACATTCATAATTTTTATACTCACATGATAATCTTTCTTTTAACTGTGGTGTAGGAGCCAAGTCAATAGCACTTTTGTTGTGACAATTGAGTAGTGTTGGATCTGCACCGTAACTTAGGAGAAGAGAACACACTTCAACCCTATTCTTAGAAGCTGCCTCATGAAGAGGAGTGAACTGCCACAAGTCCATTGCATTCACACAGGCACCATGCTGGGAGGAAAAAGTGTACATTTAATGTTCAATTTTAAGAGAATTTAGAATTATTAGTACTATGCAATTAACATCATGTAAGCTTAAAATGGTTATGTTCCTAAAGTTCACTTTTTAAGCCAATTAATTCAAAACGAAAATGTTTTTCCCAATGGAGGAATAGTGGCTGATTGTTAGGCATGTCCACAAGGGGCCTACTTAACTCGAAGCTTTAGATTTAATCTATATCTTCTCCAAGAACCACCCCCATCCCCTTTTGAGGTATAATTTACATATAGTGAAATGCAAAACTCCTAAGTTTGAATTTTAGTGAGTTTTGACAGATATATCTATACAAAAATACAATAATCTGAATCGAGATATAGGACACTCAGAATGCTTCCTCATGCTCTTTTTTATAGGCAATTTCTGCCTCATCCTACTTGTAGTACCATGTTAATGTGTTTCTAAATTTCATAAAAAGGAAAAAATACAGTGTATATTTCTGTGTCTAACTTTATTCACGTTTTAAAAAAATTTTTTTGTATCAATAGTTTATTTTCACTGCTGAGGAACATTTCATTATACAAGCAGCTGTCAAAATGGGTCTAATGTTTAACTTTACCAAAAACTGAAACSATTTTCTAAAGTGGCTATATATTTTACATTGCTAACAGCAATGTTCTGAATTCCAGTTGTTCTATATCCTTGCTAACACTTCATTGGTCAAACTTAACAATATTTTAGTCATTTCCAAGCCTTGGAGTTGGATGGACTGTAGAAGTTATACTACTGTGACCCATCAAACACAAAATCTCTTCCAGAGCATTCCTGACAGTGAAAAAGATACTGCTTTTTATATGTTCAGTGATGGGGAGCCAATTCTTGGCTAACATGGCTTTTTATAGGTACTACAGAATTCCCATTAGGATGTTCACTTCTACTTTAATATATGCACTTCAAAATTTGCTCCATTTGTCTTTTTTGGGCATCAAAGATCAATACTCTTTTGTTGTAATTTTGTAATATTCTTAGGTTTTTCTTTTCCAGTCTACATACCTCAAAGTTCCTTCACTCATCCTTCATATCAGATGGTTTCTAAACTCATYCTTGTAGCCATCAACTAAACATACTTTAGTCTAAGAAATTCATTTTTTAAAAAATATTGTGAGCCTAAAATAACAATAGATTTGCAAAGTGGTTTGACTGTGCAAAATATAGTATGTTCATGAATACATTTGTTCTTTTTTTAAATATTTATTTTTTAGGTGTAGATGGACACAATGCCTTTTATTTTTATGTGGTGCTGAGGATCAAACCCGGGTCCYGCCTGTGCTAAGTGAGCGCTCTACCACTGAGCCACAATCCCAGCCCCTGTTCTTTTTTTTTTTTAATATTTATTTTTTAGTTGGACACAATATCATCTTTATTTTTATGTGGTGCCAAGATTCGAACCCAGGGACTCACACATGCTAGGTGAGCGCTCTACCGCTGAGCCACAATCCCAGCCCAATACATCTGTTCTTAACACTGTACTTGTACTACTGGCATAAAATTATAATAGGCTTTTAGGGAGTTACATTAATTTATACTTACATTCAATCAGTGGGCAACATAAAAGCTCTAGAGGTTTTTGAGCCACATTCCCAGCCCTTTTTATTTTGTATTTTGAGACAGGGCCTCACTAAATTGCTGAGTCTGGCTTTGAACTTTCGATCCTCCTATCTCAGCCTCCTGAGCCACTGGGATTACAGGTGTGTGCCACCATGCCTGGCTAAGCTATAGAAACAAACATCAAAGTATATTCTCCTTGCAATTATTCTTCTTGTGTACTTAGATTTATAAACCTGTCTCCTTATTGATCCTATGAAATCTATTAAATTTCATTTTACTGGCTTCAACCCAAGCTTACTTATCCTTCCCAGCTTCATGTTAATCTGCAAATTTTATAAGTATCCCTTTCTAATTCTTTACCAAGCCAACAATGAAAATGTGGATCACAATGAAGGCAAAGATAGAAACTCTGGCAGCCATTAAAGGTTCCCACTARTCATCACTTTCTGCACAGTTGTTTAATTAAGAATTCACCTAACAAAAATTTCCCCTCATTATGACCAGATCCACCTATTTGCTTCCTTGTATTGAGAGGCCTTTTAGAATGAAAAAGTTAAGAGAACTCCTTGTATTCTTGTGTCTGCTGGTATCATACTTCATTGACTTAGAGATCATGTCTTGGTCTTGGAAAGCAGTCACTGAATGTCTGCTATTACATGACAGTTTCTATTAGCCAGACTCTTTTGCTATGGCTGTCAACTTGGTGTTGCCTGGGACCTCACATGTATTCCCAATTCCTATCTACTTCCTTTCTCCTGAGTTTCCTGAACTTTATTACTGTATACTAAACTTACCTCACCTAACATCCTTCTAAGTATGACCCCTAGTCAGTTTTCCACTCCATCCCCCACTTTTTTCCCCACAGTACTGAGGACTGAATCCAAGACCTCATACCAGAGCACATGCTAGGCAAGTGCTCTACCACTGTACCCTAGTCCCAGTTTCTCAATCTTATTTACTTTTTTATGTGCCAGGGGTTAAAGCCAGGGACTTGAACATGCTATAAAAGTACTCTACCACTGGGCTATACTTTGAATACTTYCAATCTGTTTCACTCTTTCTTCATAGTAATGTTCCAAATATGCTATTGAATTCAAGAATCACTTCTACAAGAAGCAAAAGCATTAGTGCTACAAATGCCCAATACTATAGGTATTTAAAGAGGTTTGCTTAAATGCTACACATTGTTTCTGTGGGAAAAATGTATTCCATGGTGGCATATGCCCAAAAAAGAAGCACGGAGGACAAGTGCCTTCTTTTCCTTCCCATGATGGCTGCTGAGAGGGTAAGGAAAAGTATTTGAGGGATAGTAACATCCTTGGATTCATTCTCAAGGATGACACATGTCTTTTACTCTCATTCAGTATGGGTCAAAATAAGTTTCTTGCTAGTAAAGCTTACCAAGTAAGCCTGCATCAATCTAAAATACAAATTAGCAAATCTTGCAAATATATTTGGTTTAAATAATATGAGCCACTAAACCTTGCTTTCTTTAGTTACAAATTACAGAATCATTTAATCTGCTATTCCCATGATGGTAGTACTATTTTATATTTAGAAGTGTATGGTATCTCAAAAATACGAGAGCAGTTAGATGATAATCTATTAATCACCTGTATTTTATGATTATACATATAGCTTCTTTTCATTTTCTTTTTCTGGTACTGGGGATTGAACTCAGGGGYACMCGGCCACTAAACCAYATCCACTGAGCTCGACCACCGAGTTGCTTAGCACCTCACTTTTGCTGAGGCTGGCTTTGAACTCATGATCCTCCTGCCTCCGCCTCCTGAGCTGCTGGGATTATAGGCATGTGCCACCGTGCCTGGCATATGGCTTCTTTTTCTACTAAGAATTTAGAACACAGGAACAAACCCAGATACACTATGTACTTTACAAAATTTTATAGGAGAAAATAATCAGAAAGGTATAAGAGAACTAACCTTGACCAGAAGTTCAGTTACTTCATAATGACCATAAGAACAGGCATTGTGTAACGGCACCAGATCACTACAATGAAAGGGGGAGGGGGGAAGCCTATATTATTACACATTCCCTAGGTGTAGAGAAATTTACAAATTAAAATATGTTCAAACTTAAATTATTCTAAATTTATWCTTGTTTTTAAGTAGAAAATGGCTTATGTGAACTTCTAATAAAAATGTACAATTTTGGTAACATCCATTTGAATCCTAAGTCCTAAAAATTCTAACTCCCAATTCTTTTTCAAATCTCTTTTTCTTTTTTCTTCCACTAATTTTGTTTAGGTCTATTGTTATTTGTCTCCTGAACCACTTAAATAGCCCCACTCCAGTTTATCCTGCAAGCTATAGCATAGCAAGATTTTTCTTTTTCTTGGGACTGAACATTGAACCCAGGGATGTGCCATCAGGAAGGTWCATCACACAGCCCACCCTCCCACCCCGCCTTTTTAATAATTTTAAGCCAGGGTCTTGCTGAATTGCTCAGGTTGGCCTTGAAATTGTCATCCTGCTGCCTTAGCCTCCCAAGTTACCAAAATTATAGGCATGAGCCACCATGCCTGCTTGCAGCCAGATTTTTCTTATGTGGTTAATCTTGTTTTAACATCCTTAGTGGTTCCTTATTGCTTTTAAGAGATAGTAGTAACTTCTTAACAAGACTCCTTCTCTGGCCTTTCCCTTTTACTAAAGGTATGCTGAACTTACAGTGCCCTCTGTCTCTATACATACTGCGTCCTGGGTATAGGATAAATTTCTCTCCCTCCTTTGGATCAATCACTGTTACACATCTTTTCTAGACTCAGCCCAAACAATGGCTCTTCTTTGAAATATTTTTAAAATCCTTTAAGGAGAACTGCTACACTCCTCAACAAACTGAAATCCAATTCATTCATGATGAGAATGGAAGAACATGATATATGGAAAGGTATGTGGAACATCAAATCCTATTTTAAGCTTCTCCTTCTTGGGGAATTAGTCACTAAGTAACTGCTATAGCCACTATCATGATGATCTATGGTAAGTGATGGCCATCTGCAATTTAGTCTCTTTAGTTCTATACATCTCTCTTTAAAGGTTAATGGCTTTCTGCCATACCATTTTTAAATATATGGTTCTTTACTTGCCTAAACTTCAATTTTATTTCCAAATATGTAGTAGACATTTCCATTTGAATTCCCATCATATTCACATTAAACCAAAAGTTGTAAAAATGAACTTGTTTTCCCCCAGTTTTCACTGTTGTATTTCATTATGTGTACTTTTGGGTCTCATTCCACTTCAGGATGTAAAACAGATTTCCTTTTATTCCACATTCTCTCATGTCTAGACTGTGCCATCTTGTCCATTCTTACACTGTAATATCTATTGCATCTATGCCTTTATTTTCATTTTTCTCTACCATCATTAAAGATCTTCATTATGTCCAAACTCCTATAATGCTCACTTTTCTAACTGCTCCTTTTGCTCCAGTCTCTTCCTTCTTCAATTAACCTTACACATTGCTCCAGAATACGCCTCCTAAAACTCCACTAGGGGGAAAAAATCCCCTTGTTTCAGATCATAGATTGCTTATGATGAAAGAATAAAGTTTGAATTCTTCAGGATAGGATATCAACTTCTCTAAAATCTGGTTCTTACCTGTTTCTCCAATCCTAAATTTTTATTTGTTCCACATATGAATCATCTGGTTCAGTCAAGTTGATCTATTCATTGTTTCTTTTTTTTCAGTGCCACAGATTGAATCCAGGGCCTTGTGCATGCAAGTTAGGTGCTCTGTCACTGAGCAACATCCCTGGTCACTGTTTCTTTCTTCTCTTTTAATGTATTTTTTATTTTTAGTTATTAACAGACCTTATTTTGTTTGTTTATAWGCAATGCTGAGAATTGAACCCAGTACCTCACAGACACTAGGCAACTGCTCCACCACTGAGCCACAACCCCAGCCCGCCGGTTATAGTTTCTTAAATGTACTATATCATCTGAGTTAGTACCTAAACTTACATCGATTCTCTTACAGAGTGATGTTCCCCACTTTGCTTTCTTATTTAAGACTTGGCTTTAAAGTCAAGGTCAAGTACCACCGCCTTCTGAAGGATTTCCCAACCACTTCATCCCTCACTGATAGACCCACTCCTGGAAAACCCTCTCTATCACCTGGCACTTGGTACAGATCTCTTTATCAGTTATCTTTCATGATCCATAAAGTACTGTATATGAGGCTTAAGGTTTTATAATTCTCTATCCTYAGAGTAACCTRTAAATTGTAAAAACTCAATAAATGATAATGTTGTTTAGTCAAAAACATGCTTTTTATAAGACTTCAGAGTGAACTGTAAACAAARTCCTTATTTTTGCTCAAATGCTTACCCTTTATCTTTAGCATGAACATCAGCTCCATGTTGCAATAACAGTTGTACAATCTTTACTCTATTGTATCCTGCTGCCAAATGCAATGGTGTTGACTGAAATATTAATCAAATAAATTAATAAAATCACATAATGAATGAATAAAATATATAAAAAGGTAAAATCCCAAATATAAAACCAGAAAATCAAATTACAACTTGTATAACATCAATTTAATTTTTTAAATAAAATATAACATATATACTGAGGGCACCATATTAAAGTTTGATGTTCACTACTGCATATGGGAAGCAAACAACTTAAAATGTTTATTATCAATAAAGTTCCACTAAATTTGCTTTTTTTTCTTTTTTAAATCCCAGTAATAGGGACTGAACTCAGGGGCAATCTACTTCTACTAAGGTACATGCCCAGCCCTTTCCATTCTTATTTTCAGACAGGATCTTGCCAAGTGGCTTAGGGTGGAWTTGAACTTGTGATCCTCCTGTCTCAAAACTCCAGAATACCTGGATTACAGATGTATGCCACTGTGCCAAGTCATTTACTAAAACTAAGAATTAATCTGAATTGCTATTTAAAAAAAATCAGTACTTTACTCAATTTAATTTACCCATCACCAGGAGATAAGCACAAACTTAATTACAAAAGGAAGTACCTTTCTGCCATCACTTGCATGACAGTTGACATTTAATGGTGTAAGAAGAGCCATCATTTTTTCCTCATTGCCACTCCTAGAACACAAAAAAAGTATTAGCTATTTATGTGTGTTTTCTTGTATGGTGCTGGGGATCGAACCCAGGGCCTTTTGAATTCTAAGCAAGCACTATATCACTGACCTACATCTCCAGTCCAGCAATTTATATTCTTTATCAAATCATATCTAGAGGCATGTATYAGGGCCATTAAGACAAAACTCATTCTCATCCCCACTACCATATATTTTTTTATTGGTTCACTATAGTTGCACATATTCATACATGCATACAATACACAATATAATGATACAATTTGAGCAATACCACTCCTCAGCACTTCCCCTGTCCCTCCTCTCTACATTCTACCCTTTGGTCCCTCTACTGATTTCCCTTTATCATTCTCTTTTAATGTATACTTTTATAAACAAATTTTTAATCGTAAAAATTAAAAAAATTTTAATCGTAAAAATTCATGGTGTATATTCAATAACATCAGTACATACCTGGCACTTTCCAAAAGTTCATCTTTCTTATATTCTCCTGTGAATTAGGGGGGGAATGAGAAGAAATAAAAAAAAAAAAAAATCAATGACAGTTTTATGCAAAAAGATGCCTATTCTATTTAAAACAGATAAATTTGAAAACAAATTTCTAAAATGGAAAGGGGTTAATAAACAGAATATCGTGCAGTTTAATACTTACATGAGGACATGAAATATCATTGTTATGAAAGTTAAAAAAAAAAGATTCCATGTTATGTAATTAAGTATGACTACACCTACAAAAATTAATATACACAGAGAAACAGAAACCCAGAAGGAAATATTAACAAAGTTTTATCTGGGCTGGTAGATTATCGGTGAACTTTTTCTTTTCTTCTTTTCCCCTAAAATAAGGATGTTATTTTTTTAACATAATTGACAAATGTATCCAAAACATTCAAACCAAAATAAGGGGTTTGGGGGTGTAGCTCAGTGRTAGAGTACAGGCTTAGCAGGCGTGAGGCCCTGAGTTCAAGCCCCAGCACCAAAAGGAAAATAAAACAACAATCAAAACAAAACAAAACAAACCTAATATAACAACATTACAAATATTACAAAAAAAATCTACTGCATCACTAATTGAACATAAATATTAAATCCTTACGAATCCAAAGAGTTTTTCAACATTGACTGTTTCTATTTGATACTATTTTACATATACAAAAATGATTAATTATAAACTATGCTGAAAACATTTATAAAATAATACAAATGAAAGTATAAAATCAACAAAATTTAAATTAGTATAAAGACTTGCTGAAACAACATTCAAATTATTGCTTACAATGTGAATTGTGTACTGATTACTAAAGCAAGGCTTCTTTATGTCCCAAAGTTTTTTGAAGATGGATTTCAATGACATGAATATGTTAGAGCAGAGTACAATAATTAGTACTCTTAGTACTGAAATGGAGTATGCACAGACTATTGTTATGAAGATAATTAGTAAAAGATAACGATTAGTGCTTTTTTGAAAGGATATGTAAAAAATGATTAAAGTACACTCCCTCCTCCCGAAGTAATAGTTTATAAAGGGGTAGATACATTTGAAACATTCAGGGATATTTAAAAAGTATCCTGAATACCCAATGGCAAATACACTTAATAAGATAACAATGACAAATTTTTAAATGAATTTGAAAAGAAAAAAAATAGCCACTGAACTGACAACTGTTTAAAAATCCTTGTTGAGATCATTAACTGCAGGAGGCAGATGGTCTACCTAGTAAGTTTGTTCTTTATAGTCTTCCTGGAATAACCAAAGACAGTACACAGACTTACCAGTAAGCACTGCTTTTGCAGATGGGTCTGCTAAATCCAATGCTGTCCTTCCATCTGTATTTCGGATTGTTGGCTCAGCTCCATGTTGTAAGAGCACTGAAAAATAGCAACACTGCTTTAAGAAATGGTAACTATAATTAACTTGATTTTTWWAAAAAAATGTAATAGTAGTCCATTTTACATTTTGAATATAGTCCTTGCTGCTCTGTCACTGCAACTTATCATTAAATATTTGAGATTGTAGATGAACAGGATATCTTTATTTATTTTTTTATGTGGTGCTGAGAATCAAACCCAGTGCCTTACCTGTGCTAGGCAAGTGCTCTACCACTGAGCCATAACCCCAGCTGGACTGATTTTAATAAATAATTTTCTTTTTTTTTTTTTTGAAGTAAATCAATTTCTTAAGAGTTCTGTTCCAGAAGTTTCAAAGAAGTTTAAAAATCTTTCATATTATAACATGGTAAATGTTATATTTTAAATTTAAGAATATATAAAATAGTCTAGTATTTAATGTGTTAAAGACACACTAAATAAGTTTCCCTTCAGTTTAATGGGAGATTTTCCTTGGCTATTTATATAGATGGTAATGAGTTGACTAACAACAGGTAAGTACATAAGGGAAAAAAGGGCAAGTTTGCTTGAAAGCTTTTCTCATTCCAATGGAGACTATTCTACCATGACATAAATGAAATGTCTAAAGCTATAGATAGCCCATAAATAAGATGTGTAGGATTAAAAAAAAAAATCACATGGGTAAATATTTTTTTTGTTCATATCTAAAATACTTTGTACATGTGTAAATTCTTTTAAAAAGTCATCAATAAACCTCAAAGAGGGGCTGGGGCTGTAGCTCAGTGGTAGAGCGCCTGCCTCTCACGTGTGAGGCACTGGATTCAATCCTTAGCACCATATAAAAATAAATACATTAAAAAGAAAAAAAACTCCTCAAAGATATAATCTAAGGCACATAAGAGGAGAAGCCTTATGCTATGATTCATATTGTTATTTGTTATAGGAAGACATTCCAAGACATTCTATAAATAAAGAGCTAAGAGAAAACAGACAAAACAAACAAAAAAGCTCAGCTTAGCCCCTGTTCTTTAATAGATTAATTTCCATTTCATTCTAGTCTTTAATAGTGCCATTCAATAGAAATAAAATGTGTTAGAATGTAAGCCACAAATGTCATTTAAAATTTTCTAGTAGTTACATTAAAAATAAATTTAAATTAATTTTAACATTACATACATTAAATATTCAATATTTATATTCACATTATAATCAATATAAAATTACTAATGAGATATTTTACATTCTTTTATTTTTTGGTACTAAGTTTTTGAAATAGTGTGTATATTTTACTTTATAGCACACTCAATTAAGACTAGCCTCCATTCTAAGTCCTTAGCTACTACACTGGAGAGTATGGATCCATAACCACATCTGGAAAACTCCATGTTATTGTATTAAAATTATTTATATAATAATAAATAATTTTAATACAATTTTAATACATAACGCATCCCAAGGCACTAGGGATGCGTTATGTGGTACAAAGAGTAGACTGACCAAAGGGCAAGAATAATTTAACACACAGAAAAGGAGAACTGGACAAAGGTAAGTAAGTCCTTCATTTTGCATCTTAATAAATGACCCATTTCAAACTAATGACTTTGGTGTAGTAAATGAGGATTTTGGAGGAGGAAGGCCAGTTTAATTCCAGCACAGAGCTCCTGGACTTTTCCTGGTGCTCAGACCTGCCTTTCTTTGTGTTAAAAGAGTTTTAAGTGTTCCTGTTTTGAATCAGGAAAAACAATGGAGCTAAGGTGACAATGAATCCCAAATCCCTGATTAATAAAAAATCTCAAACAGCCTTCTCATGTATCATTTTTGTCAGGGATCAACCTGTCAGGCAAATCCTGTCTCACTTGTTAGGTTCAAATATTCGACATAATATTTTTTCCACCAAACGCTTCTTACTTAATCTGTCATTTTTAATCTCCTGGAGTGACCTGAGGTCATTCTCTCATTTCTTACCTGGGTTATTTTCCAGTTTCTTAACTAGTTTCCCTGATGCTGGCATTCTACCCAGCTCCCTACCAGATTACTGTTTCTAAAATATACTACTTTCGAGAAATTGTTCACCTCAATTATTTTCAATATTGCACACTACTTACTTAGCAACATCAGGCTCCATAACCTAAAATTCAAAGCTCTTTATAAAGAAATCCCTAACCTGTGTCCCACTAGAAAGACTAGAAAGATTCTAGGAAACTGGGCTCTGAGACTTGACTCCAGTCTAGTCATAGCCCTAATCACTTTCCTTTTAACAGTCAACTTCACTTCCACTGTATCTTTAGCTGGTTGTGTATTTTATCTCCCAAGAGAATGCATGTTTCCACAGAAAAGGAACTTTGTAAACTATTCTGCAAAGAAATTTAGGGTAAGTATTATACACAAAAAGGCAATTCAGTAAACAGTGGTTAGACTAAAAATCACAAACTGTTTAGAATAAATAAATTAAAAAAATCATGAAGTGTTCTTATTTATATTTAGTATAGCAGAATTTGATGATAGTAACAAATAATYCAATATAAACTCTTAAACAGTTAGAATTTCTGGGAAATTCTGAAAAGTAAATAGTCTTACCAATACAAACATCAATCTTTCCTTTAATTGCAGCTTCATGGAGAGGAGTATAATTCCAATTATCTCGAGCATTTGGGTCTGCACCATGTTGCAAAAGGAGATTGACTACTTCAGCATGACCAAAAGAACATGCATTATGAAGAGGAATAAGCCCACCATCATCACGTGCTTGGACATTTGCACCATTCTGAAGCAAATATTCAACTACATCTTTCCGTCCAAAACCTAGAAGAAAACAAATTATTTTAATAAATTAGACTCAGTGAGTCCAAGTCATGCTAAAATGTTTCAGAATGGAAAATAATAGATTCAATAATCCAAGGATTAATTACTGAAAAATTGATCTAAAATGTTAGTAACTATTCTTAATGATAAATCTAAAGGGTAGCACTGCTAAGTAGCCTGAGGTACAGCAGTAGTGCCTTAGTTGGTGCTACTATCATCTTCAGAGAAAGATCACAAAATAACTGACCAAAAGCTAAATAGCTTTATAAGGATTCAAATTGTAAATAAAGAGTTCTGCATATTTAGTGTACACATATTTTCACATGTTCAAAGTATATAACTTAAGTATATAAACCACTACATTATGAAATAGTGACAAAACTAACTCTTACTAGAATTCTTTCCCACATCTGTCTCATAAAATGTTTCTGTGGGGGACTATGAGATAGCAGTAAGACAAGATCCGCTTATAGGTTATATTTGTCTTTGTAGTGAGAAAAGGTGACACTAAAAAAAAAGAATCAAATCAGATGTTTTCAAAAGAGCCCTTAACCTGCCACTTGCACAACATAAGCAACTTCTTCCCAGGAGTCCTCCTTTAGCTACTTAATTTCCATAGTTTTGCTCAAAAGCCACCCCCACAAACCAAATAAAAGGAAGAGCATGGTAACTCAATTTTCATATATTAATACTTAATATCCTTTTAGTGTTGTTAATCATGAAATGAAAAGGATCCCAGGCAGAAGTTAAAGCAGAGAGAGGTTTGTCTATRGGCTGAGGGAGAGGAAAAGAATATTCTTAAATCCTCAACTCTGAATGTAATCCTAAAATGATTAGCATGGGAATGGATGAAAAAACAATGGTAGACTTCTTGGGTTGACAGGACATTGGTTGCAACTGAGGAGTTAAAGATGGTTAAAAAGATTAACTTTGTTTTAATCTTGTTAGGCTCTGTGCCTACAAAGATGAGTATCCTCGTATCCTYGTTCCTCCTTTTAAAAAGCTCACAATTGGGGCTGGGGTTGTGGCTCAGTGGTAGAGAGCACGCCTAGCATGTGTGAGGCACTGGGTTTGAATCTCAGGACCGCATGTAAATAAATAAAATAAAGGTCCATTGACAACTAAAAGAGAAGAAAAAAAAAAGCTCACAATTTAAGKGCAAGACATTACAGGTTAAGCAGGAAAAAAAACAAAAAGTACCTGGGAAAGGAGGTATGAAGGAGTAAATCCTTCATAACAGCCATGGCACAGAATGCTAAAATAGGCACATGCCAATCAGAAAGAACCTTTTGTCATGCTAAGGAGGTGTATGGACTCTGTTCCATGGACTGGTGTTCTTCAGACAGAAGATTTCAAGGAAATCTTATTTATAATTTCAATGCATGTTTGTTATCTTTATTGTTAAATAGCTAATGCTGGTACTCAGCTGGTACTCACGAAGTTCAAATTAAYGAAATGAATATCCTTCTTTTTCAGACTTAAAAGAAAATATCTAAATATCCCTGTATCTTTGAGCCACCTCTTAGGAACAGTTGGAAAAACATTCCCACAACACATTAGTATTTACAAAGGCTTGTTCAGAGTAGTCCACTTTGTTAAGTTGGCTTTTTTGCCTCCTTTCTTTTTAAAAGAAAGATAACCTTGGTGATTGTGTGGATAAATGGGTAAAATGAGAAGAGAAAGAAGTAGTAAGGTCTGTCTGGTCCTTAAGATTTTAGATAGCCACTGCCAWAGTCCATGTGATAGATGATAAGGGTCAAAACTGAGACTGATTTGTTGTCTCATTCACACTGTTCATGTAAACAGAATAGGTATATTCACATGATTGGTAAAARGGGATACTATGAAGCCTTGTTCTCAACTCCTATTCCAAACCTCCTATTTCCCTTCATTCTAATTTTCTTTTGCTTATATTTCCAAAATTATTTTATATATGTATAAGCAAACACCTTCTAATTATTAAAAAGATACTGTTTGTTCCTTTCTTTTAAAGAAAAATGTAGTAATATCCTAGAAATCACTACTAGTAGTACATATTCTTTACTGGAAGAATCAAAAGCTAACTAGTTCCATTCTCATGAATAATTAGGTTGTTTCCAGTCYTTTATCATTTCATACAATGTTGCTAAGAGTATCTAAAGAGAGAGAAGAGAAAATTGGTAGAACACAGTGATTTATTTGGTTTTGGAAATGCTTAAATTTGAAGCATTTGTAGGACAAACGTCTAGTAAGTAGTAAGTTCTGTGGATGCTAATTTGGAGAAACTGGTCTGAGCCTGGAGACACTTTTTGGTCATGATCATACAGACAGTATTTGAATCATGCATAAATATTCATGAAGTTGACTAGAGAACACCACCTCTCCCTGTCTCTAATTAAATCATTCTTATGTTCAATGTTTTAACATGTTCCAATCCCTTTCATTTTATAAAAAGTATTCTCCCTAAAGTCACTTTACCATTTCTCTGCTCCTTCACATAACCCAATCTATATTATTCCCCTCTCTATTTTCCCAAATTTGATTGGCTTTGCTTCTTCCTTACAACTTCTTTCAATAAGGTCACTTATAATCTCCACATTGCCAAATCCAAGGGACACACCTGTCCTTACTTGACTAGACAGACATCTTTGCTGAGATGGTAGCAGTTGATCAAAAGCTTAAAAAAGATGAGGGAGTTAGCCTTACTGGCCAACAGTAATAAAGCCAGAGTGGCTAGAGTAGAGAGAGAAAGAGATAGCATAGGAGATGAGGTTAGAAGTGATGAGGACCAGATAAGGACAACAGATTAAGAGGCTTGAAGATCACTGTAAGCAATCTGTATACGGGGTAAAATTGAATCAAACTGTGAAATATGATGTATTAAGAACTATGTAATGTTTTGAACGACCAACAATAAAAAAAAAGAAAAGAATTTCATTTTTTAAATTGAGGAAAATGGAGAGTCACCACAGGGTTCTGAGCTGATAAATTACATGACATAACTTACATTACTCTGACTACTCTTGGAATAGATTGTAGAGGTTATGGGTAAAAGCACGTGAGAGCTTACAGTGGCTTAGACCATAATCTCATGGTACTTGTCAGAATAGTGGAAAGTTTAAGACTCTGGATACTCTGGAGGTAGAGCCAGCAGTTTCCTAATGGATTAGATATGGGGTGAGAGAGAGAGAACAAGAGCCACTGAATATGAGTGAGGAGTTTTGGATGACCCCAAGGTTTTTGGCTTTAGTGATGTATGGCTGCCATCCATTGAGAAAGGGGAAAGCTGCAGAAGACACACTTCGCGGCAAAGGATGAGGAGTTCAAGTATTGGACATGTCATATCTCCCCCCCATCCCAGCGGGGGTGGGGTGGGGGTGGGGTTGCTGCTTTCTCTACCCAATTTCTAAATGCTGGAATTCCTCAAGACTCAGTTATCTTTTTATACAATCTTATCTACTCCTATGACTTTAAAAAACTATCTAAATATACAGCCTTCAAATTTAAATCTCTGGTCAAGATTTTTCACCTAAGTTTCAGTATGTTTACTTGACATACCTTCTTCTTGATAWTTCAAATGCATCTCAAACTCCACATGTTCCGCAGCTTCTCTCCATTTCCATGGACACTGTCTGAATCCAACCAGTATCACCTCCATCCTGAACTATTCCAACTGTGTCCTAAGTAGGCCTCTCATTTCCACTTATGTCCCTAGTGATCTTTCAAAAACAGACATCATAATACATCTCTCTTTAAAATAACTCATGATCTCCAAATGGTTGCTCTTAGAATAAAATTCAAACCCTTTATTGTGGCTTACAGGGTTACTTGAATAAAATAGTTTTTATCACTTCTCTAACTGAATTTCATACCACTCTTCTCTTTCCCAACTATGATCCAGCTTTCTTTTAGTTTATCAAGTGTGCTAGGGACTTGGTAAAGGCCATCTTTCTGCTTGGAATGTTCTTCCCTTGAACATATTATGCCTCACTTCTACTTATTGTCTAATCTGTTTAATGTCACTATCTTAATGAGGTCATCTCTGACCATCCTATCTAAAGCATTCCATTCTGCCCACCCACATTATTTTCTATATTAACACTGTTTATTAGTCTGTCTCCCCATCTCTTTGACTAGACTGCAAGYTCCATAAAAGCAGGGATTTTGGTTTCTGCTGTTCACAGTAGTATCACAATTTGTAACTATTTCTTACCTATCTCTTACTTCCATAAAAGGTAAGAGTCATGTATCTTCTAGATCATCACTGCTTCCCTGGTATGTAGTATATAATATCTGTTGACATTTGCTATATTAATAAATCAGGCTTTCAGAACAGAGAGTAAAGTAAAACTAAGAACAGCACTGTAGAAGTAAAGTCAGTTATCATTAGTCCTGACTTCAGTCTTCCTTTATCACTATCTGGGCACTGTTGATCACACTGTCCTCCTCAATTAGGTCATCCAACTACCAATTAGTTGTTAACTAGTTGTCAACAATATGCCAACATGGTTCCTTATTGATTAAGATGTCTAAAGCAGGCTGGAGACTGAGAGAGGTCAGTGTTTCCAAAGTCACATCATAAGGACTATGTTAGGTGGCAATAGTTTGCTACATTAATACAGTAGAAGATGAT